CTACCTAGTCAGTATTTTTTCTGTAAACTTTACAAAAAGTAACTTAGAATCTTGCAACCTCATTGAGGAATTGTTCCTGCTATTAACATTTATCCTGTGATTCATCAGCTGACTGGGACACAAAATGAATATATCCACTTTTCTGGAAGAACTGGAGTTTGGCTCAACTACAGCTCTGGAAAACAAGACTGCAGTGATAATGCATCTTCTAGGTTATCCAGATGAGAACTAATGAGGTTTTACTGGTAAAAGTTTAATCAAAGAAGGTGATATTGCCACATATTGTAATAAGCACCTGAGACAGCTTTGCACTGAAAAACAGACATTTTGACTACAGTGCACTGAGAACTAATTTAAACTACATGGAACAAACTTCTGGAAGATGTAGAGGTCTGGCCAGTTCCTTGGAGAACTGTTACTTGTTCTACATTGAAGCTGGGAACAGGATCCCAGCCTGCTGCTGCAGAAGCAAAGTTCTGGCTTGTCAGAATCATGACATAAAACCTCAAACACAATCTAATTACTTCAGGCTTATAGTTCAGTCCTGACAAAAACCTAAGCAATTTAGAATAAGCAGGGTCAAGTTGGATCACATATTCCTGGGACAGCATCCATTTCCTATCATGGAAAATGCTGGCATTTCTGCTCTCACAACTATAAATATATATAAATAGATTAGATTTAACTCTATCTACAACCAGCTACACCTGAAAACACATGCCATGTAGGAGGGTTAAAGGGTTAAGCCTCCCAGTACACATCAGCTGTGCTCTGGCCCAGGTCTGAGGAGGAAAGAACTCAGTCATTATCCCAGTGTCCAAACTGCAGATGTTGTTGTCCAGATGTGGGCGCTTTTAAGGCCAGTCTGAAAGCAATTATAAACCCAGTCAAATGAGAAACCTGAGGTTAGATCGCCTTAATTTCATTTAAGATGTTCCACTGAAGCTCTGCTTCTCAGGCCACAGCAGACTGTCATAACATGCCAGTTAATTATGAAGTCTAGTTATTAAAAAAAATAAAACAAGTTTGCTCCTTTATTGGGGCTGAAATAAGTGAGCAGCAATCAAAGTGCCTACTAAATGGGTTGCAAGATGAATGTATTCTGGACATACGGAGTAAGTGGGCTGAATGCTTCAAAACCACATCTGCTTCTTTGTCCAGTCCCATGCAGACATTCTCACCAAGCCAATCAAAGCACCATCTTAACACACACTTACAGGAATATGTGTCCCAAATAGCCTACATTGCTCCTGTTGATGCACAGCTCATAGGGAAGAGGGCTCTGTCCATTTTATCTGCCATCTGGAGGGCAGACTCAACCAAGTGGCCAGACTTTGTTTGAACCAGTGTCCTGGCTATCATCACACCTCTAGGGTGAATTCTGGGCTGGAAGGGGCTGTTTCCTTCCAGCAGTGCTGCTAGCTGGTACAACCAGTTTAATTTGGTTTTCCATGCAGGAGCACAATCTGAGCTCGCTGCTGTTCCCAGCCCCAGTGCTCTGCTGGCTCAGCACTACCTGCATGCTTCTGCAGCAAAATTATCCCACACGGCATTATAGAGTCAAGCCAAGACAAGCTCTTTTGGTAACAGCAAAGGAGCTCACAGTGGAAAAGTGTCTCTAGAAATGCCAGAGAGGAAGGGAGGGGCTTTAGCTTTCGTGGAAAACCAGGAAAACTTGGGAGCAAGCCAGGTGCTCATCCTCCTTTGCAAGCAGCCTTTCCGACTCCTACCCCTTTTTATCACTTAAGATGAAGCTTTGCAAAGCCTAATTCTTTACAAAAACTGAAAAGTGATGAAATGAACATGTGCTACCACCTGCTGTCCATTATTTGCAAGAGCAGCCTCTTCAGCATGGTCTGGCACTGGACGGTCGCTCCACAGCTCAGGCACCACTGCAGACTGATGCCCCACTCGGGCGCCAGCACATCAGGAGTAGCTTCAAACTGTGCAGAGGCCACGCTAAAGAGAAGGGTTGAATTGTTGTTGAATTATGTTCCATAAAGAGCAATATCGAGGAGAGAATTAGGAGATGAGGTTGAAGGGAATGTCAGAAAGGTGCCCAGGCAGGAGCAGCTTCATGAGAAAGTCAGATCCATGGATGAACATGGAGGTACCATGATGGAGAAACAACACCAGCCACAGCCTGGGCACTCTCCTGGGGTCCATCATCACCCACTGGCACATCACTGACAGGCTGCTGCTGTTATAAACAGCTACCACGGCAAAAAACAGCAAAAGATTCACTGAATAACTATGGGTTTAAATAGACAAATTTTTGTACAGGTCACTTCACTTGCACACATCCCACCAGGTCATTGACTCTGAACTACCAGCACAAGATCTGAAGCAGTAAATTACCTAAGGCTGGCAAGATTAATGGCCCTGAGCTCACAAATACAAAGAATGTATTTAATGGCTTTCTGTTGCTGTGGTGAGCAAACAGTGTGCCTGGCACAGGAGGCAGCAAAGGTCCAGGCTCTTCCTGTGTTAATGTATTACCCTTAATTATTTGTAAAATAAAATGGAGACCAGTGGAGTCAAGGTACTCACTGTTCACTGCAGCCAAAAGACTCCCAGGGACTGTTACCTTCCCAAAGTCCTAATTAACAGGGAATTAAAGGAGAAAAAAAGATCTGGCTCTGACTGTTGTAACCACAACCACACATGTCCTGAACCCATGGTTACACATAAGATCTTAGAGGAGAAAAAGAATGGAAAAGACTTATGGACACATGAAAAATCTACTTTAATCCTTCTTAGCCTCTGCAAAGGCTTCTGTGCTTGCAAGGGCCCTGAGCATCAAAGTTACTCAGCTCAAAGTCTTTACATCTGCTTCTTTTGCAACGTCACTGGTACCACTGCCCCACGGCACCTCTCATCCAACGCCCTGAGAACACCTCCATACCTAATTAATCAAGCACATTGTTTTACAAAGGTTAAATTAACCAATCCCTCCCATACAGTGTTGTATGGCTGAGGAGCAAACTTCAAACACCAGCTCAGTGCAGAACATGTTACAGATTTGTCTTGGACAGTCGATGCGCTCAGCCGTGCTGGCAGAGATCACACACTGAACATTTATGGCCAGGAAATAGGGAAGGATTTTATCTTTTCCGAGAACATGTATGGAAATAAAAGTGTGGATAAATTTAATTAATAAATTACTGCACAAAATAGTATTTGATCAAGTGCAACATAAAGTTTGATTGCAGCAGAGACTTCATCAATAACTTCCCAGGCTTTCCTAAGCCTGTCACAGTTTGCTCTGAAAGCAAACCTCCACTGTGCTGGCTTGGAAGCAGTCATTTCTATAAGCACTTTTACCCCAATCTTATCTGAAATAAATTGTGTTCAGCCAGCGTGCTGGAGCAGTAACTACCAGGGAATAGAAAGGCCAAGCCAGCAGCTATGTGAAGTAGAAAGGCAAAAGATATTCAGAGAAAAAGCAAAACGGGGAATAAGTTAACGGCAATCCAGGCTTCACAAATATTTCAAGGGCTCTTCCCTTACTTTCTATCTGCCATAAAGAGAAGAAAGAAACAATCTATGGGGAAATAAAAATGAGCAAAAGAAGAAAATCTCATGTGTGCTAAACCCATTTTCTTCAAAGCCCCGATGGCATTTCTCTGCCACAGCACCCCACATCTACCCATAGGCTTGAGCCAGCGAGCGGATGCTGGGTTACTTCAATCTCATAGCATGAACTTGTACTCCTTGCTATTCTCAATCTGTCACATTCAACAATCACATGCAAAAATGACTCAGGCTGCCAGTTGTCTCAGTGTTGTGCTTGTTGAGCATTTGCCAGTTCCTCAGGAGCAGGCTCGATATTGAGAGCCACACTTCAGGAAACGTGATTTAGCCTGAGGCTGCTGCATTAGGCTCAAAGATTTTGACTTTTGTCCTACAGCTTTGTGTTCTCTTTTTTTAATCTCACAGCCCAACAATTCTGGACATAGAGAAAACAACAGCGGGGCAGGCCGGTGGCTCGGCCAACCTGGCATTTTGACCTCTTGAAGGCATTTATTTTAGGTGTCTAGTATTTCAGAAGGAGTGGAAAACCCCTTACTGCACCACACCAACCACCAGCTGCAAACGCTGGACAGATTTTCTCCCTGTCACCTGCAGCGATCACCCGAGAAGCAGGCAAGGATTTCCATCTTTCTCTGAGCAAATGCCATTCTGTGGTGCAGCCTTTTAGCCAGTGCAGCTCCAGACACTGAGTCACCCTCTCCCCTTTGCATCAGTGAATACCCTGCGTTCGTTCAGCTCACTGAGGTCTCCTGGTGCTGGGAAACAAACCTCTTCCAGTTTCATAATCCCAGCTCCAATGCTTGCCTTCAAAGCCTCAAAAAGGAACCACAGCCCCAAGGATGTGTAGTTGTAGCCTCCACTAACTATAGGGTTAGCTTATGGTGAGCAGCTCACACACATATTTCCCTGTGCTTATTTAGGTGAATCCTACTCCTAGAGCAATGGAACCAGCTCTGCATAACAGAAATGATCTAAGATGTAGCTCCATGAGAAGCTGCAGAGATTTAGCATTTAATCATTTTGGCTGTGTTGGGGTTTCATCCAATATTTTGTTGTGTCCCCCCTCTGCAAACCTAATGTCCTAAGGAAAGTATTCTGTCAATGCAGATAACATAGAAACATCCACACTTAACTACTAGACTAATTTATCCAGTCATTTTGTATTTTTTGTAACTACCAATGGAAAAAAATTAATATTAGTGCCTGTAACAGCCTCATGATTAAAGTGTACTTTATAAATTCAGTGGAGGTTTTATTTCCCCATTAGAGACTGTACTCAGCCAAAACTCTTCAGATGAATATTCATTCAGCAATGAGGACATTTAACATATTGGAAATGTATAACAGGTAGCAAAAGGAAGACTATTTATAACTGTAATTGGAAATTGCATGAAGTCACTGTTCTGTAAGTAAATTTGGGCCTAAGGTTTGATGCAAGAAATAAGAAAATTGAAGAGACTGATCCTAAAATCTTCACACAACCATTTTATGGTTATTCAAAGTTATTAAACTGAGTTACTCATTTACAAAAAGTACACAATAAATCACTCTTTCCATCTCTCAAATATCAAAAAGTAAGGTCATGGGAATGACAAACAAACTTCTAATAATGTAGCAAATGGACTTTATATTCAAAAAGCCCCCATAACTTCTCCCAGTTGCATAGATAGCTGTCTGAAAGCATACGGTTTGTGTAAAGACTGCATATACCATATGCACATATCACTTCACTTGCCACTGAAACAGTTGTGTCATGGGTGGAATGTGGCAACTCTACCCACACACAGTAATGTGATACAACAGATGAAGATAGTGGAAAGCCGTGAAACTGCATGGAGAAATTTAAGTAGATTGAGTCCATCTCTACTTCAATGGGAATTAGATCAGGCCTTAAATGAGAATTTATGCATGACAGCTGGATTAACATATGTATTTCCTGAAAGACAGTACCTTTATAAACTGAAGAGTTCCCTAGTGTCACACTGGAGCATTTGCTCATTTTTTATTAAGAGAGAAACCATCATTTTGTAATTCATGGTAATTTCCTCCAGGACATAGGTCTCCTTCATTATCTCTTTTGAGCCCTGATCCTACTTAATTTGCAAGGTATGAGGCTGCAGCGGGGACAGCTTAGTCTGTATTTGAGTTATAGTACCCGTATATCCTGGTTCATGAGCAGGAAACAGTGCAAGTATGAGAAGACCCAATTAAGTTAAAAGTTCAGCAGTCTTCCATGTCACTGAACTATCAAGCATCAAATGATTATAGTGTCACTGCATGTTCTTACACAAGAAAAACCACACACCCTCTTTTTATTAACGCCATGCCCAAGTGACAGTATCTTGCCCGTCTGATCCACAGTGTGGAATCCTGGCACTCCTGAAGGCTGGAGCTTCCGAGCAGTTGTACCAAACTAAATCAGACATACAGTGCCACGGCAGGGGGAAGCTTTACAATGCAGGAGCACAGATGGGATCAGCTTGCAAGTAAATATGTTTCTGTTGCTGGAGAAGCAAGACTGAATAAAGATGGGGAAATAAGATGCTGACAGAAGAAGGGAAAAAACCTGCCAAAATGGGTACAAAGAGGACACTTTAGAAAGGACCAAAAAGATGGATGGGTAGCTTGAGCAGCTGGCTTTCCACTAATGTGAATCCTTCCATCTTACATCAATAATGCCGTTATTTGGCATTTATCCTCTCAGTTGTAACTCCATAACTGGGCATTCAAGTATTTCATAGCAATTTTCACTATTCACTCACATGCATAAAAGCTTGTGTCATGAAAGGCAAAGCTTTGTAAGCTCCTTTTGCAGTGCTCTGAATGCAACCAAGAGCTCTGCCCATGTAATGAATGCACACAGGTCGTACCTTCTACTTTTTCTTTCATATCATTAACTTAGTTTTAATATGAAAAGATGGTCATCCTCTTGGAGAAAGGTCACCAAGAGTTGGAGAGGTGATTCTAAAGATAAAAATGTGTAAGAATCAGCCTAAAAAATAACAATGAGGAAAACCACATCATAGTTCATGAGTCCAGCTTCTTAATAGTATTCAGATTTTAATATTTGATTAGGACAAGTAAGAATTATGGTCTTCTTAGATCTGTTACTTTACTACTACAGTATAGCACAAATGCACACACATTAATGACTAAATGCCCTATAGACCTGCAAGCTTAAGGCAGAGAACAGGATTCAGTACATATTTTAAACTGCTACCATCCTGATAACAGATCAAACATCTAAATAATTTTAACAGCCGTTTCAACATGGCACACAAGCACCTCAGGTGGTGGCAGAGTTGAATAATAGCACCCATAAGTGGCAAAAAGGAGTTAGAAATTCTTCTCTCACCATGGAAGTCTTCACACTAAATGCAAATATTTCCAGAAAGAAAGCTTTTGATCATATTCAACTTCTTTTTAAGTACTTAGACCATTTTTGTGTAACAATGCATATAAAAGTAATGCTAAGGCTGCAAAGCCCTTACCTACAAATTGTGCCATCCCAGGATTAAAATTCCTTAATTCAGCTCTGTTGTGGATATGCATAAGGGGAGTCTTCAATTATCTCTTTACATGCAAGTCTTCTGGAAACCACTGAACTCCATTCCATGCAGAGGAAAGCAGGAATATTAATTACCTCAATGCTTTTTGATGGGGCTTTCACTGTAGTTTTAATGCTCAATAAACATCAAAGATTTATTGTTACTATCTAACTGTGACAGAAGATGCTCTTACATTCACTCAGTAGATGGAGAACAGGCCATAAAACTTAAGGCTGAAATCATTAAGCATGCAATGATTTCAGATGTGCAATATGAGTGCTTCAAGCCCTCATTTTTCAAGTATACCTGTCATTGTAGGAATATCCCATGTTCAGAGCAGTGATCCCACTGCTCTCAATAGCTGTGGAAGTTCCCCTGCAGTTCAGATCCTGCCTCTCTACCTGGATATATTGAACACGTAGACCATAGTTAAGCTCCGTCCTCCTACTGGGATGACTCTACTCCTGCCAGTTACTCCCTTCTTTCTTCCACATTATCTCCCCTGCTTTGCTATAACTGTGCTCTCCTCCCCTGCTTCATTTCTTGTCTCTCTTTACATTGGGCTTTTCACATTTCCAGAGGGAGCAGAGAGCACTGGGCCTTGCCTTGCTCACCTCTTCTGTAAGCCCAGACATGAGAGCTTTCACAAGCCATGACAGCTCTGTACCTACTCTCTCTCAGGATGGGTGATATCTCTTCAGCTCACCCACCATGTATGAGCCATGCAGGATGAAGACTACATCTTTTACCACAAAGAACTTAGAAGACAAATAAACCTCTACTGCACAATCTTATGTAGGTATTTCCAGAGTGTGCCTTCACCAAATTTGGCAATTTAAACAAAGCAAAATGTACCATAGCTCAGCCACAAAGACAACTCTTTACCACAGGTTTCACATCCCTCTGTCAGTGCATGGTGGCAAAAGGACCGCAAAACAGCTGTCAGCATTCATAAGGTGGACCAAGTACCCCTCCTCAAGCCCTCTGAGGCAACTTGCAGCTCCTGACTTGGATGTATGCATGGAGGGGAGACACAAGGGTACTAAGAGGTTTTAGCTACTCACAGCAAATATTCTATCTCCATGTGTAAAGGCAGGAAGGTTGTCCTTTTGTGGGACACAGGGTTGTGTGTCAAAATCAGCATTTGGCCCAAATGAAGCCTTACTGCACAGCACTAAAAGGTTTCAGGGTTAATGAATGAAAGCTTACACTCAGAGTATGGTAAATTTAACACTGTGTTTTAAGAGGTGACTTAATTTCTGCTCTGATCTGATTGCCTATAAGAGCAGGACTGTCCCGAACTTGGGACAATGGCACTCCACATAACACAGCAGCTCCTGAGATGTATGGAAACTGCCACAGGCAGGTAAAAAATTAATGGGAAGGGCTCTTCTTTTGATTGATGAATCTGTGACCTTGAGCAACAAGAGCACTTGCACCAAGTATATCTGCCATGTGAGACCGACAAAATGAAAGAGGCTCATGTTACACTCTCAGATCTCATTAAGCACACAGACCAGAAACACTGATACTGGCATTGGCCATCTGCTCCGCTGTTTGCCTGGTTACAGGTCTGATAACACTTTCAGGGAGCAAAAGTTAATCATACGTACAGATGAGCAGCAGCACTTCTGCACAGGAAACGCAGTGGAGCGTAACAGTTGCTAAATAAAACCCCCACATACCTGTTTTTGCTTTGCTCTGTTGTCTCAAACCACACAGGCAAGCTGGCAGCTCAAAGGAAACTGTTGACATAAAAAGCTGTATCTTTAGAATCCTCAAATATTGCTGGTTTCTTTAGAAATACCCTGTGAAGTTACCATAAAGTTAATTAACTTGAATCTGCCAAGTTGCTGTGCTCTCCTGTTAGTCTATATAATGGGCAATAATACAGAATTATGTTTTAATTGCTTTAAAATCATTTTCTCTAATGCTCTTTCTTGCTTATCTCAGTTATCTGGTATTTTCTGCCATTTGTTCTCCACTTGCAGGCCCCCACCAGTACACCCTTCCAAGTCTGCTGTAATATTACCCCAGCATCCATCCCTAAGGAATGAATTTTCCCTGCAAGCATTTTTCAAGACATCAAGAAAAATGATCAGCTGAATTTTCTTTGCTGAGCAGCAATTCCTGGAAAATCCTGCAACGTATTCAAAGACTTTCCTACTGCTTTTGGAGAATTAGCTCCGGGCAAAACGATAGAGTCTATTGAGGCCATATCTGACCTAGAAAGTATTAACTGAAGAATGTGGGGGACAGCTGGTTATCGGAAAGAAAAGACACACAGCGCAGGAGCATGACATGTAGAGCTGTTTGAGTTAGTTCTGAATGACTGTCAGCTCTGCAGAGCCAGCCAAGCCTGGGAAGCAGATACGGCACTTCTGCCAGAGCCATGCCGCATCCCATAACGGAGCTAGCTCAGATATCTGTAGTGCAGGACTGCGCCATGCGGCGAGGGGATAGTTTATCATCTGAGAGCATTTCGGATATGTGATATGATAAGGTTGAACAGAAATCTGAAGTATAGCAGGATTATTTCCAACAAAGCGCCAAAGGGCTCAACCTTCTGACAGAGGACATTTTGCAGTTGCGTTTGGCACGGTATGTGCCAGGGTTATCTTTTTTTAGAGCACTGCTCCTTATGCTTCTTGGTGTTGTTCCTCAGAAGTATGACCAGGTATCACCCTCCTTTTTAAATCACAGGCTGCTTTGGGTTGGAAGGAGCATTAAAGATCATCTAGTTCCAAACCCCTGGCTGCCATAGGCAGGGACACCTTCCACTAGACCAGGTTGCTCAAAGCCCCCTCCAGCCTGGCCTTGAACACCGCCAGGGATGGGGCAGCCATCACATTATGATGTTCAAAGAGAGCATGAGTGCCATTTATTTCCAGCTATGTATCTGGTTACACCTAAACAGATGAGATCTCAATTCTTACTTAGCTTTTCCAGTTCAGAAATAGGGTTGTGTATGTGAGATAATGTCTTTATTATTCCTTTCGATGAGGTGGTGATAACTGAGCACACATTTGCTGCCACAACATTTTAACTCTGACAATCAGAGGAAACCCTTCATTTGGAAGTCACTATTAATGATTTTGGCCAGTACTACACCAGGGATGGCACTTCACCACCCATCACTTCACCTTGCATCTCTCATCTCACTGTAAAGTATCGCTGTACAGGGGCAGTAATAACAAACCAGGAACTTCCTTTATTCTTCCAAGTACCTTGGTACACATCCATTTATCGGCTCAAGGGAGAAGATGATGAGAGCCATACCCTGAGCTTCAGAGAGGCGCTGATGGCAATTCTGGTGGCCATTTCATAGTCAATACTGTTCTACTGATGTCATATTAAAGGCGCACACATACAAAAGAGACTCTCTTTCCTACAAAGCGTTGGTATCACACCTTCTGCATTTTCCCTGAGCACATCCCCTGCAAGTTCGACTTCCAGATCCAGACTTCTGCAGGAGAATTTAAAGTTCTTTCTCAAAGTGCTTATTTTAACCAGGCTTCCTCGGTCTCCTGCTGGAAACCGTTTCCCCGCGATACACCATTTATACCAGTTTCGCCTTTGACGATGCAGCTGGCGCGCTGCCTGCACCCACTTTCCTGCCTCCCCCGGACCTCGAGGTACCCCGAAACACCCTTCCATGGCCACCCCCAAGCCTTTATTCCCCCCCCCCATGGCCTCCCTGCACCTCCCGGCCCGCCCGAACCTCCTGCTCCCCTCTAGCCCTGTGCTCCCCACCGCGGCCGCGGAGCGTGCGCGGCCTGGGCAGGCGGGGCGGAGGGAGAGAAAGAGGAGGAGGGAGAGGGAGGGAGGAGGAGGGCCGGTCCGCCTGCCCGCCCGCAGCCGTCGCTAGCGCCGCCATGATGCTTGTTTGCTTTCAATGAGTGTGAGGAGGAGGCGGGGGGGAGCTGCTCTCCCGTCCGGCCCGCGGCAGGAAACAAAGAGCCAGGCAGGCGGCGGAGCGAGGGCGGCGGGGGGACGGGGATGCTGCAGCCACAGGTAGGGGCGGCCCCATCGCGGGGGGCGGCCTCGGAGCCTCGCCTGGAGGGGGGGGACGGACACACACGACTCCGGCCCCGGGGGGGGGGGCAGCGCTCCTCGGGGGGAGCCGCTATGGGGGAAGGGAGCGGCAGCGTTACAACGGGGGGAGCCTCCCTCGGAGTTGGGCAGGGGGGTGCGACCCCCGCCCCGCGTCGTTTGGGGGGTGTCATGGGGGGGGCGAGGCCCCTCTGGGTGTGAAGGGGCTCCGGAGGGGATGGGGGGGGGGGTTTGGGGGGCACCGGAGGAAGCGCTGAGCCCCAGGCAGTTGTTGCTGTGGGGACGCCCCGCTCCCGGGGGAAGCGGGTGGGAAACGCTTGGTATGGAAGGGGGGAGCGGCGGGGAAGGGGGGGCTCCGCCACCGGGAACTTGCCCGGCCTTGTACCCCGGCCGGAGGCCCGTAAACACCCACCCGGCGTGCGGGAGGGGGCCGGGCCGGGCGGCGCCGCGCAGGGAGCCCGGGTGTGTTTGCATCGGGAAGGCAATTAAGCGAAATTAGTGTGATGGCATCTGGAAGCCTGGAGTTTTTTGTGCTGTTTTGGTTTTTTTTTTGTTATCTTTTTTTTTCCCCTCACTGTGCAATTGAGTTTAAAATAATTAAACAAAGGCAGAGGGAAATGACATCAGGCTGGTTAGCTGCCCGTCCGCCCTCAGCGCACGGCTTCCAATCCCCCCCCCAGTCCGAAGGCCGCTCAGGCGCTCCCACAGCGCGGGCCGCGCTGCCTGTCAGCGGAGCTGCCGCCACCGGCGGCGGGAGCCGAGGCCGCGCTGGGGCCCGGAGCGGCCTTGGCTCGTTCCGGCGGAGGGAAACGGCGGCGCTGGCGTAAGGCGTGATTGTCAGCGCCGGCGGCCAATAGGAGAGCGCGGGAGGCGGGCCGCGCGCCGGCACGTGAGACCGCGGGACGGACGCATGCAGGGATAAACAGAGGGGAATTGGGGCGGGGGATGGCGGCGGGGTGCGAGAGGCAGGTACACGGTAATTAAGCTAATGAGGAAGAGGGGGATTTGTTGTTGTTGTGGTGGTGGTGGGTTTGTTCGGCTCGGATTGCTGAGCAGGGGCTGGAAGCCTGGAAGTGGTGCGGGATTCCTGTATCGCGTGCAGCCTGCGGGCGCTCCCGGCCCCCACATCTGCCGTCGTGCTCGCAGGACAAGCTTCTCTCCTTTAGAGTTTTATGGAGAATTTTAAGCCTGGGATCAGACAAGGCTTTAGGAAAGTAGGTAACTGTGCACCTGTCTCTCTCCTGATGTACGTGTGGATTGTGAGCGTGTGTTTTATCAGCGAGTTTTGCACAAACTAAGAGTCCGTGTGAAAGCTACTTTGCTTTGTGCGATATAAGGAATATATTCAGAACAAATACTGTAAAACAAAGGGTTTGAGGGTTCTTTTGTGTTAGTTTAGTTTGGTTTTGTGTTTTTTAATGCAAATACCTCTTTCCACAAACACATAGAAAATCATTTTACTGAAATACGCTGTGCATTGCTGAAAATATAGGTTCACAGTTTTGTTATTGAAAATACAGCTTCACAGAGGGCTGTTTGCTTAGCAACGGGAGTTGCAGCTCCTCTGGGTTTTTTCCTTTGACTTCTGGGGCTTATTTTCTTAATCTAGATTTCGCCACAATGGGCAAGTAATTCAGAATTCAAGGGATTAAGAAATACCTGTGGTATTTGTCTGGCTTAAACACGAAGATGTGCAAGTGTTGACTGGTAATTGTATTGTATCTTGCCCTTTTTTTTTTTCATTCTAGAGCAGGTCTCGTAATTGGGAATTTATCAGCATTTCCACTGGGGTAATTTTACAGGATTATCCACCCTCTGTTCTTCCTGCTGGTTCATCTGGACTCGGTGGAGTTTGCTGCTAGCAGTGAAGCCTTCCGTGGGGGTTTATTTATGCCATTACTGAAGTCCTTCGCATTTGGATTAACTCTTTGTTCCCTTGTCATCTGAATTGCTTGGATCAGTCCATTTATGAAAAGGATACTACCATGCATGTCTTTTCTGTTTTCATTTTGAAGTTGAGCTCTGAATTCCGTCTTGATGTATTCAGGCCTTTTACTTTGCTTGAATTTTAGAGGAAGAGCTGAAATAGAAAGATGAGACTGTGATATTGCATGGGCAGGTAAATACTTTTGATGTTTTTTCATGTGAAGACTTGAGAACATTCTGTGCAGAGTCAGAAATTGAATGAGCGGAATACCTTTCAAGGTAAAAGTCAGTAAGATCAGGCTGTACTAGATATTAGGAAGACATTCTTCTAAGCAAGTGTAGTGGTCATAATGGAAACCACTGTCTTTAAAATGGTGTCGAGTGCTCCCAAGTCTGAACAAACTGAGAATTCTTTCCCAACAGATGAGCATAAGCATCTGTTTTTAAAAGCATGGCAGTATAAATAATAATGGGCCTGTTAGTCTAGCACCAAAAAGCCAAGTATTTTTGTTTAGTGCAGTGTCCCTTATTGCTTGAATTACCACCATGCCAGGGGGTGAACTAGAATTCAGTTCCAGAGGCCCTGGTTCTGTTTGCTGACAGACTTGAATTTTAAATTATTTTGTGCTTTTTGTCATGTAATTTTGGCTGTACACGTGTATACGTGCAGGCTGTACTATGACATCCCTGCCCCAAATGGTGCCACGTTAAACAAAGATTACGTGCAGGCAGTATATGAATGAAGATGCCTTTCAGTCTTCAGAATTGAATGAATATACAAGAAATGTCACTTATTTCCACAGCTGGGTTTTTTCTTGTTAGGAGGAATGTATCGTATTCAAAGGTTACAATTGTGTATGGTGAGCTTGAAAAAGCTACCATTAAACCCACGAGAATAATCTTGGCAGACCCTACCTCTGTATTTTAGTCCTAGTTGCATGAGACAGAGGTTGGGCCTTGCCCTATTTATTGCATAAACCTATCTGGGTTTTTTAATCTATATATTGAGATTTTACATGACTTTCAATGTCAAAATACGGATGTTACTGAATCCAGTCTAAATTTAGGCTTCTTCATGGTGTACTTTGGAAAGCTTTATACATAAATTGCTCAAACTGAGTCACTGCAGGATTTCGTCTGTTTTGTATTCCTTCTTCAGTGGCTTCACATTTGGAAGTGTGATTATTGTACAATATCTTGCAAGATTATTACCATTGTATTAAGTGACATAATTTATGTTCCTACATGAAAATCGGGTTGTAGAAGTCCACTCAGCAGGGAAGTTTGGCATAAGCTTGGGGACCTGCACTCATAATTCCTACCCTACAGCTGAAGTCTTGAAGAGTTTACAAATGCTTAGGCAGGTCCCATAGAAAAAAGCAGTTTAAATGCTTAACGTGTACTTTTGAGCTGCTAATTACACTTCCAAGATGGTGCTTATTTAAAGGAAAAAAAGTTGGCAACAAGTCAGTTTTTTCTTTTGTAAGACTGCAACATGAATCCTTTTGTTAATGCCTCGGAGGGCTTTTCTTGAAGTGAAGGAGTTAAGATAGAGATGTAGTTGTTTACTTTAGAACTTGCTGTTAGTATTCCAGTTTATGCTGTGGTGGAGGTCTGTAAGAAGAGGCTGGGGTTTGGGTTGTTGTTTTTTTTAGACTTGGAAAGCTGTGGGGTATGTTATGGAAGCTGCCATCTCAGCGTTGTGATCACAGCCTTGATGTTTTGATAGCTCTCTTGTCCGTCTTACTTAACTTTCCTGATATGCAACCTTTACTCCTCAAGTAAAGTGGCTTCCCACCTTAAGGCTGTCCTAAAGTTTCTATACTGTTTTATAATGCCAGTATCACCAAGGCCTCCTTCAGCTTTTGGAGCTTCCCCTTTTCCTTATCAAGGCAGCAGTTTCAGTCTGGAGACTTGGGGCTTCTAGAACATGCTGAAGCAATGTGAGTGATAGCTTATGTCATTAAGGTACAGCATCTTGCCATGGTTAGAAGACCATGAAGTATGACATAATTTAGTATACTGCATATTATAAATTATCTGTGCAGCTTTACTGCTTGAGCTATTTTGCAGTGTATTGATGAGTGAGGCGGGGATGCTGCAAGTTGTTCTGACATAAATGGTGCTCCATAAAAGTATATCTCTGCATAGATCTGTTGGTAGAGTCGGGGATCAGGAAAAAAAAACCTCAGCACTGGCTGTGCTTCAGAGACATTTAAATGCTTTTTGGAGCAAAACCCACATTGAACCAACACCTACAAAGGCAGGAAGGCTTGAAACTAACCTAAAACACCACTAGGTTTGAGTGTGTGCTGTCTGATGTGTATCACCGGTCAGAACAACGCGATGGCATTGTAATGGCTAAATACTAAAAGTATTAAGATGCTTTGTGGAAAACTCTGATCATTAACACTCTTGATATTCTTTTAAAGAAGTTTTAACAGTTGCCCACTTAACAGAAGTGCTTTACCTGACAAAGCAAAGGTCCTGTGGGCTAATACGGTGGAGTTTCAGTGCTGCCTTAATCACAGTTCATCTGTAAATAAATAAGAGTACTTTCTGGAACAGATGATCTCTGTGTGAAGAATAATTAAGACTAGGAAGGCATCCTTGCTTTGCTGAGCGACATCATGAAAGATTCACCTCTGGAGATTTGAGAGCCGATCATAAAGTAATTGTCAGTCATGGCATAGGTGCTTTTGGTGTAGGGAGCAATGGGCTAGATGACCCCATGGTTTCTTGTGGTGTAGGATGTTGTGACTTTTCTCTAGAGGCAGAACATGGAAAGCAGCTGTTTTGGTTGCTCATTAACTCCACATAATTTACATAAGTACAACTGTTGTTGGAGTAATGCTGGAAAACAACCAGTGACATGGCTGGAGTGGTGATACTTATTTTTGTTTTGTTTTCTTAAACCACCAACAGTATATAGCATTGGTTTTCAGCATCGTCTCACAAACAGCAGCATCAACACAACAGAGAGAGGTGATGAAGTGGTACGTGGGGACAGGAAAGAAATGTCAAGCTGGCTTTGCTGCACAAGCATGTGGTTGTGGAACACATTCTCAGGCTTGTTCATTTAATTTGAAGTAAAAACAATCTATGAATAGTCTGGTTGCTTCTATCAGGATGTGGCTAAATGGGTTAGAGCGTGAACTGCATGAACAAGTTCTTTAGTATCTTGAACTTCAGATAGTTTAGCAACTGTAACATTAACAAGCATTCAAATACCTAGAAATTGTGTTTTTTTTTTTAAAGCCCCCACTTCTGGGTTTAGATACTGACTTATCAAGCTCTTGTTCAGATCTATAGCAGGAATGCTGAAGATGAGCTCATGTCCAAACTTCATTTAAGGTAGCTAGGTTATCTCTTACTCCTAGGTTGTCTTGCAGGGCTGAGAAGGAGAAGAATGTTTCGTGTGGTGACTTCATGTTTTTACCCACAGAACAACAGAAATGTGGTTAAGTATTCTGCAGGCGCATAAAGGAAGATGTGGTAAGGAACCTTGTGGTATATGTGCTGGTATTTAGAATAGCTTACTGAGCTGGCTGTAGATGAGAAATTGTGCAGTAGTTACTGTAAACAAGAATTAATGTTCCATGTTTTGTGAAGAATCATAACTGTATTGTCAGGTACGATTTCTGGACACAACCAATGGACTGAGAGTTGGTATGTATTAATGTTGTGACATGAAAGACCATTCTCATCTCTCCTAAAGCTTCTTGTAGGTGAAGCTTTACACCTTGGCCTTATTGTGTATCTGCATTTTTAAAACTTGAAGCTGTATTCTTTATGATAGAACTCTTCCTTTTAAAGTTGATCTCTTAGGTTCCATCTTATTTGTAGAGTATCTAGTTATGTAAAGCAAATAAATCCTTAAATTAGTGAACCTGACTGATCTTTTAATGTATTGGCATTTCAGCATACACTAAAATAGAAACTGCAAAAATGTGACTGTTGTGTAGTACTCGTTAGCTAGCCAAAGCGTTTCTAGG